GAGATGAGATCCTTAGCCAGTTCCATGGAGATGAATGCCCTTTGATGTTTGCAATGTGATTCACTGACTGGAATCTCCCACAAATTATTAACATTTTATTATCTTTTTATTATCTTTTTTTAGTTATGTAAACATGTTCGCACAAAATTGAAGATTGAAATGGTACCTGAGTTTTAGCACCATGTCCTTATATCTACATCACTGTTTCCCTAAAAGGTGGAAAGCATTAGCTGGTACAGATATGTAAATTCAGGTAAGATAAAATGTATTTGTCCTCCCATGGTAACTGGAAACTATCTCAAGTATACACATAGGGTATTGTAAATGTTAGAACATTTTAGATAGTCTGGAATCTAAAAAACTGCTCCATTCAATAATGTATGTATTGAAAATATCGCCAATGGTATTATGTTAATTATTGAACACCATATTATTGAACACTGAAACAGAATCAAACTGAACGTCATCACCCTAACATCAATCATTCACACAATTACACAAATAAAGAGAGTGATACTTGTTTTGGAATTAAAAATGACACAGCATTTATTTACAAACAAAAGGGGTCATCATTGAAACAATTAACTACAATCACATGAAATGCAAAAAGTTATACAATAAGCAACAAAAAATAACCAGTTGATGGGCACAAATGCTGTGGGAAAAGATTTATCACTAAAGTGAGAATTGTTGTGAATTCAAAGTGACTTTTAAATTTAAAGCCAAAATAGTTAAATAGGGAAGAATTTTTTAAGTCAGGTATGCTTCCAGTTTAGCTTTTTTTTTTTAGCCTCGAATATCAAATTCACTTTGAATCCCCAGCAATTTGGAGAATAGTCCTGTTAGTGGTGAACATTTTAGCTAGGGGGGATTCTAAAACTATTTACAAAGAACCTCCAAATTATTCTGACACTATTATAAAACTTGTAATTATTGAGCATGTCAATGCTTTAAGACTTGATACTTACACTATCACAAACAACCAAATGGGTTCACCATGCACTAAATGGAAGTATAGGTTAAATCGTTTTTTTAAGTTTGGAATTAGTCCCTATATCTTACTGGGTGCCATCTATATATAACTCAACCTCCTCCGCATATACTACCAACCAATTATTTACATATTCTAATAATTCAATTTTAAAGTAGCGGTTTTCGACCAAAGACTTGGGACCCAAAACTGGGAGCACATACTATTTTCTGTTGGTCCTATTAGTTGGAAAAGAGCTATTATATTCTTCAACTGGTCTTGCCTTCAGATTTTAAGCACCGTGTGGGAAATTTAGGAATGATGCTCACCCATCATGATTTCACATTATCAATCCCATGTTTTTCTTCTCTGTCTCCATCTTATCCTTGGTGTACTCTCTCCACCCTCTTCATGTGTCCCTTTCCATCATCCCCTTTCTTTTTTGCCTGTATTTCTCTTCCTTCTTATGTGCTTCTGTCAGTTTGCTCCCTCTCTCTTTCTATCTCCCCATCCAACTGTGTATGTTTATTTCTATTCTCTAGGACCTTTATGTGGTTCCTTCCACCCTCCACCCCCACCTTGAGTTTCCAAGTCCCAAATAAGAGACTCATTTCAACCTACCCCTTGTGTGGGTCTTTAAATCCCCCCTTTGTGTGGCTCATTTAATTTTCCCACCTAGCGTGGCTTATTCAACCCCCATCTGTGTGGTTGCTTCTGTTCACCTCACCCTCCATTCAGCTTTTTGAGGGCCTTGAGGGATGTCATTCCACAACTTATACTGTTGCAATGATGCATGCTGGTGGCCATCGCTGCCCTTCTTGTCACGACAAGTTGAGAGGGCCATAACACAGCATTTATATGAGTCCCCCTCCATCGACCTCTCTCAAAATGAGCCCAGTGCTCTGTCAACCTAAATAGGGGGGGAGGTGCTAGTACATCAACTCTCTGTGATTGGGCAAGGTGGTGCCAACTTTTGGTGGCTATGCCGAAGGCTAACCCTGGTTATTAGGTTATTAGCCAATTGCCACAATAAACTGTTTACTGTAGCAACAACACTGCCTAAGTAATGTAATGCCACTTTTACATTGAGAGTGGTTGAATTAATTTGTTGCAGTATCTATTATAGTACAAATGAGAAATAAGTTCTCAAGCAAATACAAATTTTAGTCATTTTTACCCCTGCCATGGAACCCTCTTCTTAGACAATCACCCAATATCATCTATATAGATATATCATACACTGCTTACTCTTTACAAAAATGGTGACATGGAGGTTTGTTAGACTACTAATGATTATAGAGCTTCTCATACTGCATTCCCCTTAACCACCATCATGTGTCAGTACAAACATTTTTAGAATGGTTAAGTAGACCTACACTATCATTAATAGATTGTGGATTAAAAAAATAAACTTTTAAATAAGTCAAGAGTGAAAAGTAAAATGTTAAATACACACAGTGATACATTTGAAATATGTTTTGCCTTACAACTTACTGGTCATCGTTAATATGTTTTCTATTGGACAACACATTTAGCTCAGACGATCACACATCTTCCTCCTGGTGTTATAAGACATCTGTGCCTGGTGCGTCTTGTATGATGATTAAATTACATCTGCAAAACATGAAGAATAAAAATGCTAAACTGCATTTGGAATGAATGATACAAAAAATGTAAATGAGAATGTGAACCTTTGTGTTATTCACTATTTCCACATTATTAGAGTGCATTAAAAGATTCCTTCACTTAGTACCAGTTATCTCTGCACTGTGTAATCAATATGTTTTGCTCTGTACTCATAAGCATTTCTGATTTTTGACCATTCAGTATTCTGCTTATTAACCCATATGTAACACTTGGATAACTATTAAAATGCATTGCTCACGAATATCTGAATGTGTGCCAGTTGCCAATTATTGTTTCTGGGTATTTAGTGAATTATTATTATGATTCGTATTAGCAATTGCATAGCGCCAACATATTATGCAGAACTTCAACTTTAATTATAGAATGGAGATATCGGACAACAAGTAATTGACATACAGAATATAACAAAGATAAGAGGTGAAGAAGGCCCTGCTCAAATGAGCTTACAATCTATGAGAAATAGCTTACAATAATGTTATATGTTTATTTTCTATATATAGTATTAAAAGAACACTCCAAGCTAAAGAGCTTTAAGGGTTAACAGAATGTCCCCTTTTTCAGACTTAATAAAAGTGATCATTGCAAAAGAAATCACCACTATTATAAAGTTCCTATGCTGCATCATCCCAACTGTGAATAAGCACAAAGTGACTCACTTAAACAGATCTCTCTCTCTCCTTGTGCCTTCCTTAACACATAGGGAGAGAAAAGCAAGAGGTGAGAACGGACAACAGCTCAATTAGCCTGCCCTTCGGTGGGTCCCCACTCAGATCTCAAGCTGGTTTTAGCTCATCTAGTGCCATTACAAAGAGAACCTATCTGAAGCATATCAGACTGGTCCCACCCGTACGGGCAGTCCAGATCTGAAATGCCAGTAAGTTCTGCCATTTCTTGAGCCATCTAACTACCATCCCATATCTCTGCTCCTTTTCTCCGCAAAGCTTGTGAAATAACTTGTCATTTAACCATACTTTCTCAACTCTAACTCTCTTTCTCGACCCTCTTCAGTCTGGTTTCTGCCCCCTCTATTCTAGTGAGACATCTCTGACTAAAGTAAGTAATAATATAATTACAAATATCCAGAGGCCACTACTCTGTTCTACTTCTTTTAGACCTCTCTGCTGCTTTTGACACTGTTGATTACTTTTCTCCTTCTCCCTTGGCCTTCATGAGATTGTCCTTTCTTGACTCTCTCTCTCCCAGCGATCCTTTAATGTCTTCTTTTCTGGTAACATCTCCTCCCCTCATACTATCTCAGTTGGAGTCCCTCCAGGTTCTGTGCTCATTGCCTTTCTATGTTCTCTCTATACTGCCACTTTTGGCAAAATTCTACTACTTCTTGTGGATTCCACTACTAGCTGCATGCCAATGACATCCAGATATACTTCTCCTTCCCTGATCTCTCTCCTGCTGTTCCAAAATGAGTATTCAGTTGCATCTCTTTTCATCTTAATAATATTTTAAAGCACTGTGGAATAAGTTGGCGCTATATAAATATCAATAATTATAATAGAAGGCAATGATGCTCATAGATAAATACTGTATTCAATCACCATGCATGCACCTACCAATACTCCTCTATGAGAAGCATTTAGATGCCGAAGAGTTCACCAGTACTGCTTAACTTCCAATGCGAGGAGCAGAGCTGCCGCAAGGGACTCTCTCCCTGCTGGATTAGAGGTAAGTGACCTCTTTATTATATATGTAGTGAGGTAGAAAGGGGGCACAGTAGTCTCACCAACACTCCAGCACTATAAATAAATGTATTCATTTACAACACTAGAGTGTTACTTTAAACACATTTAAAGGCACTAAGACCACTTCAGCTAACTGAAGTGGTCTGAGTGCAATGTCCCTTTTGCACCTAGTGCTGCAAAACGTTGCAACACTATGTCTGGCAACAGTGGCTGTATCGAAACGGATCTTTGTCCAATATCTGATACTGGACGTCCTTACGCTCTGCATGAGGACCTCCAGCATCAGCTTTTTCCCCATAGGAAAGCACTGATTCAATGCTTTCCTTTGGGGCTGTCTAATGCGCAAGCGGCATTTGCCGCACATGTCCATTATCGCCTGCTCATTGCAAGCCGTCAAAGGGGGCGGAGGTGAGTAAATAAAGGGTTTTTAAACCTTTTTTTTTACTGGGGAGAGGGACGCGAGGGAGGGGGAGGCAAAGGGAGCTACAGTGCCAGGAATACAGCTTTGTGATACCTTCATATGCTAGGAGAACTGGGAGAATGACCAGACAGATATAAAAGAACACAACAGCTATACACATAAGTTTATGACTAATTATATTTAGATTTAGTGCTAAAGAAAATCCATTCTTTATTATCCATAAGAATAAAAACATTATTCAGATTTTTATAAATTAATAGCAAACATATTCAAAATTGTGTTTTGTAAGCCATATATAACATGCTATAAAAGATCATTCTTTTGTACGCAGTGAGACCAAAGAAACTGAGTGAAATAAGAACCAAAGCAGTTCTAGTACTGGATTCCTGTGGCAATCATGGCAAGAGAGTTCTATTATTTACTACCCCATTCTTTCCGGACATCAAAAACCAACTATTCGGCATAACACAAGCTATACCCAAATGTATGTAAAACCAACTCCAAGAAAAATAGCATGTAAAAATGCATTCTATTGTGTTAATTGGCTTTAAAATATAATGGCTAACATGTAGAGATTTGCTTTCATTTCCTATTCCTAGCAAGAAAAATAGTCTGCAAATGTATTCTTATTGTGAGAGCAGAGATGGCCCTCCTGGAATTGTATTAAATATTTATAGATTTATAGCATAAAAATATAAAGGAAAATTAAATAAATGGAAAACAAAATGTATAACTGCAAAATAAACTCAAAGCATAGTTTAAAGGACTCACCCCAGGTTTAATCCTGGATTTATGTGCCACTTTCTTTGGAAACTAGAGGCTAATACTTGCATTCCCAATAATGACATAATATGTATGGTGCCCTCAAAAAATTGTAAACATTGTAGAACAATGGTGGCTAACTTTATCACTGAAGGTTAAAACTAAATTTTCCATGATGCATAATTAGAAACGTAGTCTAGAATAGTTGAGTTATCAAAGGCTTGCCACCACAGCTTGAGAAACATTCAGATTGTACGTATCAGTATGCTTATACTAAATGAAACTTTTCACAAATGGTCAAGTTGGCCTGAGATATGTTAGGATTTAAATGCTATACAAAATAATGAGAATTCTCATTTTCCAAGGGTCTTTTAAAAATATAAGATTAAAGGGGAACTATCACTTTCCTGGATTTTTAATATTATGCTTACTTAGTTGAGCAAATGAAAAATGTACGGACGGTAGTCACTAAATCTGCAACCCTAAAGGATTGGGATTGAACCCACGTACGTGACAAATCTAATAGTATAAATAAAGCTTTAGGTAAATAAATGTATTTAGCTAATCAGGGTGCAGAATAAAAATGAAATTAAAAAAGATTGAAAATAACTTTATCAAAGGTATACAAAACAAATAGACATATGGGAATATCTGCATATACGCTCAAAAAAGCTGAATAAAGTGTTGACTGACAGATGTGAGTGGGAAATGGAGGTGACCGTAGGCTGAATGACAGAAGGCAAAACCCTACAGCAGAAGTCTTAGAAACAAAATTATTAGATAACAAGACTAAAGTCCTACATGGTTCACCCTCCTAGCCACTCAATAAGCTAAAGAAGGGGAAAAGCTATGGGGAACAAAAAACAAAGGTATATGTTTACAGCTAGTACAAAGGTGAGCTATATTCACCTACAGACACCTATGGGGGGGGGGGGAGGGAATACCCCCACTACTCATAAGAGGGTATACAGAGAAAAAGACACCTGAAAAAAGTCCCTATGACTACCTCAGTGCACCACACGCAAAGAGTGCACCCACATACCAGAGAGAGACAGGTGAAAAAAAATCCATGAAAACCAGGGACGAAGAGCAAAATAAAAATATACATTATAGTTAATGCAAAGGTAAGTTATATTAGTCTACACATACCTATGGGTGGGGAATAATTCCACTTCTTTTAAAGGTATATAACTACCTCAGTGCACCATAAAACAGAGGGTGCACCTACATACCAGGGAGAGGCAAATGAAAAAAAATCTTAAAGGTAGAAGAGGACATGTACAAGGGCAAAAGTAAAATATACTTATATATTTACAGCCAATTATGCAATGAGCAAGACGCAGAAACATGCTTGTTGCCTTCCTAGCAGAACTACAAGGTGTTAGTCAAAAAGCTGTAGTAACCCAGAGACTGGTTGTACTGTTGAAGAAGAGCAGGGGAACCAGGTATGAAGGGTAGGGCTTAAAAGAAAGTATGTGTAGGGAAACAGGTTGCAAAATGCATCCCTATCTAAGTTCAGCCTAGGTCCATTAGACTCACTGTGACAATAGTCAAGACTGGCTTTGATAGTGAATATGTCATGAGAAATATATCGAAACATGCAGGAAATGGGAGGCCCAACAGGATAAACAGAGATAGATGAATTACCAGGCCTTAGAGTGGCCAGACATATTGTAATAAACAAAGAAAGAGGCAAAGTCAAATAACTAGCCACAGTCAGGAATACAGATAGTCAGATAACATATAACAAGCTGGTTCAGGATAACAGAAGTACTCAAAATTCCTATATACTAGCCGAGGTCAAAACAAGAATATACAGACAAAACAATGAACCAAGGTCAAAACAGGTCTAAATAAAGTTACCTAGACCTGATTGGTTCACGTTACCTGTGACCCCATAAAGTGCGAAAATGAGGTAAACTGGGAAAACGCATACAATTCTGAATCAGAAGTGACGTTCCACGAACATTCGGCATTTAAAGATGCGCCCTTAGAGCGGATAGCGTCCAGCTTGTTATACGGAAGTATTCGACGTGCACGACCTGCGAGGAACACTGAATCGGCATCATCGATCAGGTGAGTATCATTGCTGCACATTATTGACACCACACAATTGGATCACAATTGGATCTCACCTGGTCAACATTACACTCAGAGCCAGCCCTCCCTTTAAGTTTTAATAAAATGTATACCCCAAAGACTACTAGATACACATCAGAGAATACTAGATAAATCTCAAGTTATCCTTCCGGGTAAATGTTTATTTTCTTTATAATTCTTAGTGTGCCCTAAATTGTTAGTGAAAGTAATACCAATTTATATATTACTAGGTTGCTTCATATGTTTTTTAAAACAATATTACCCAACCACAACTATGGTAACATCATAATAACAATAATAACAATAATGAATGTAAGATTGAACAACTCCTACATTTCAAGGGTAAGCATTAGTACCCAAACAAGTATTTTTGCTAATTCCAAATGAAATAAATAATTATCTACTTTCATCTTTCCACTCAACAAAAATAATTAAAAGAAAAATTAGCACTGAGCACAATATGACACGCTTCAATAAAAATGAGCAGCAAACTGAATGCAAAATACTACGTTGATAGTCCATGAGAATCTCTTAAAATGTTCTTCTTGAATTCTTAATGATGATAAAATAAACAATGAGGAAATTAATATGATGAATCAGCACCCAAACATGTTTTCAGTTCACAGGACTGTAATCATAGACCAAGCATTTTACCTCACTGGGTTTTTAGTCTCACATGCACTCTTAAACTCCTGAACAAAACACCTGCAGTATTGTCAGGTGAAATACCCTCTTCCTCATTATTATGTTCTATGTTTGTCACATAAATTTCTTTTGGGGATATCTGTATTGAAATTTCCAGTCTTAGAATGAAAATATCATACATTTGTACATTGGAAGATGGCATGTGGATAGACCACAAGAAGGTAGCGATTGATTGGCCTTAGAAATGGCCAGGTTCAAATAGAAATTGCAAAGACCACCTTAAAAGGATGTGTGTTAAGCTTATATATGACACTACAAGTCTAACCAGCCCCACTCAGGGCTCCTCATGCACAAAGCACTTCTGAAGTGTTCTCACATGTGCTCAATGCTCTGAGATTACTCTGCTTGAGCAAATGTAATGATGCACTCACACTACAAACTGTGCTGACAATTCTCAGGTGTCTCGATTGTAAGGGCAAACATGTTGCAGGAACCCAAAGATACATAAGAATTAAATTAAAGTTGAGCTTAAAGAGACACTATAGTCACCAGAACAACTACAGCTTAATGTAGTTGTCATGGTGTCTATAGACTGTTCCTGCAGGCATTTTAGTGTAAACACTGTTTTTTTTCTGAGAAAAGGCAATGTTTAAATTACTGCCAAGGAACACCTCCAGCGGCAGTCACTCAAATGGCCACTAGAGGTGCAACCTGATTCAGTGCTACACAATGTGCAGCACTTACATTCAGTACCTCCACACTCTGCATGGAGACTTTGAACGCTCCCCATAGAGATGCATTGATTCAATGCATCTCCATGAAAAGATGCTGATTGGCCAAGGTGGTATTTTGCTGCTCATGTGCAATAGTCTGATTGGCTGGGATTGTAAAATTTGATGATCTCAGCCAAGGGAGTGGTTCGCAGGTGGACCTGTGCAGCACTGGAATAAAGGTAAGTAAACTCACCTTTTACATAGATTACAAGGGGCCTGGGAACTAAATAATGATATTACAGTTATAGTGACTGGGTTCTAGTCTTAAGATATGGGTTCAACTGAGAGAGCTAATAGGCTAATGAAGCATATCCTAGATTAAACATTATATAGAGAACTGGTGGTTGGTGGCTAGTTATTATGGACATTCTTTATCACCATCACAATATATCATATATTATCAGGAGTGTGGAAGATACAATTGACAAAAAAGGGTATAAGCTGCCACTAGATTGTAAGAGCACTGACACCCATCAATTTCTGAGACATATTTTCCTTAGGCTAAACAAAGAGTAAGTTGAATATATGGAATTGGCTAGTGTTTTAAAAGTATTTGTACAGTTTTTTCATTTTGCATGGTATTTCATGTATGTTTTTAGTTTACATGGCAACCTGATACTAAGCATCTTTTGCATATAATGTAATTTGCACTTTATATAAATTGCGCTTACCAGCACAAATTTGTATATTATTTGCCATGACAACTCTTAGTTTTGTCAATAGACTCCGATGTCTTTGTAATGCTTTTAAGCATACAAAGATTCAGAAAAACATTGTCTGAACAGACGGAATTTGGTAAAATTAAAAATAAAAGCAAAGTTTAAACCAGTGGGAAAAAAGCACATTTGCTAACAAAGCACTAACAAAATCATCTTCTTTTTTACCCATTGCTAATATTAATACATGCGTGTAAATATTATCACATAACTAAACTCAGGACATTCCAGCTTAATGGTGACCCACAAAATAGCACTATCCATAAACAGGTATTGGGTATTTTACTCCTATTCAATAAAATGTCATAAAAAGCTGTGTCATGAAACAGCAGGCCTTTGCAAGGAAATCATGTAAACGGAAATGTGAAAAAAGTGCTGTGTATGTGTTTGTATATTATGCATGATAATTTGAGATCTGCTGTCTTTTGTTTTTTTTGTCTTTTGCTATGTAGATATAGTTTATATCTACATATATTTCAGAATTTATCTCCATCAGTAGAAAGTTTTTAACATTTCGATCTCACTGCAATCAGCTAATGCTTCAAAAGTAAAATATATATATATATATATATATATATATATATATATATATATATATATATATATATATATATTTATTTATTTTTATTAATCTACAAATAATATAGCATAACCCGACACATAATGCATAAACGGACCCAGAAGCGATTCAAACCAGAGCTGGGTCTACAGCTCTCCGTTTGTGAGTGTATACATTCTGTAATAAAAAGTTTATTATCTTGCTATATATGACCTACACTATGTTAGATTATCTTTTATAGATACCTGTACACATTGGGTACACAAGGGGAAATCCTCCTTCAAATTCAAACCAAAGGTGATTTATTTATTTATCATTCAAGCTCTACATTATTTTCTAGTTTTGTATTTTATGTTGGTGATGTAAGGGATCACTTGAATGTACAGCAGCTGATAAAAGTTACTTGAAAGCAGATACATTGTGATTCAACTTAATAAGCGCTGGTACTTACTTATTTTTTGCATGTCAGAGAAAAGACTCCTGCTTTTATTTCCACCATTTTCCCCATTCTTAATTATCCCCCCACCCCCCTTCACTCTCCACCAAATCTCAATGACATCTGTCAGATATCCAAAAACAGCTCTTGAGGACAATTCAAATATAGATATTAAATTTATGCAAACACAGAAAATTTCACCAGCACTGTTTATAATAGGATGATGGCAGATAAAAAACAACTTTACGCTCACAGGTATGTTTAATAACATATAGGGAGATCATATTTTTCAGTACAATAACTCATCCAAGTAAAAAAGCTAAATAGTAAAATTCTTGGTATATTTACACCATATGCAAATTTGTACCTCACCATTTTGTATTATCATCGACCCTATTTACAGTATAGGTCAAGTGAGAAAACAAATGAAATAATACAATTTGAGAAAAAAACAGAAGTGTTTGAAAGAAAAGTTGAAGAATTTTCCAAAACCAGCTATTATTGTCAAATCACTAAAACTCATTGTTTGGGCAAGGAACGTACACATGATGTGTTAGCATAATATATTCAAACTACACATGTGATCTCTTTATAGTACTGTTAAGTGGTTCTTTCTTTGTTTTAGAGAATCCTATTTTTTATCTCAAAAATATACACTGCCTGGCCAAAAAAAAGTCGCCACCTAAAAAAAAGGTCACATACTCTAATATTTAGTTGGACTGCCTTTAGCTTTGATCACAGCACACATTCGCTGTGGCAATGTTTCAATAAGCTTCTGCAATGTCACAAGATTTATTTCCGTCCAGTGTTGCATTCATTTTTCATAATTTTTCATCTTGTATCGATGATGGGAGAGTTTAACCACTGCGCAAAGCCTTCTCCAGCACAGATTCTCAATGGGATTAAGGCCTGGACTCTGTGGTGGCCAATCCATATGTGAAAATGATGTCTGATGCTCCCTGAACCACTCTTTCACAATTTGAGCCAGATGAATCCTAGCATTGTCATCTTGGAATGTGCCCGTGCCATCATGGAAGATAAAATCCATTGATGGAATAACCTGGTCATTCAGTATATTCAAGTAGTCAGCTGACCTCATTCTTTGGGCTCATAATGTTGCTGAACCTAGACCTAACCAACTGCAGCAACCTCAGATCATAGCACTGCCCCCATAGGCTTGTACAGTAGGCACCAGGCATGATGGGTGTGTCACTTCACCTGCCTCTCGTCTTACCCTTACCCTGATGCACCCATTACTCTGAAACAGGGTAAATCTGGACTCATCAGACCACATGACCTTCTTCCATTGCTCCAGAGTCCAATCTTTAAGCACCCTAGCATATTGAAGCCTTTTTTTCCGACTAGCCTGACTGATTAGTGGTTTCCTTAAGGCTACACAGCTGTTTAGTCCCAATCCCTTGAGTTCCCTTCGCATTGTGCATGTGGAAATGCTCTTACCTTCACTATTAAACATAGTCATGCGTTCTACTGTTGTTTTTCGCCGATTTGATTTCACCAAACGTTTAAGTGATCGCCGTTCACGATCAATCAGGATTTTTTACCGACAACACTTCTTCCTCGAAGACTTTGGTTTCCCACTATCCTTCCAGTTTTTAATAATGTGTTAGACAGTTCTTAACCCAATTTTAGTAGTATCTTCAATCTCCTTAGATGTTTTTTCTGCTTGATGCATGCCAATGATTTGACCCTTCTCAAACAGACTAACATCTTTTCCACGACCATGGGATGTGTGTCACGATTCGGGGAACCCAACACGCTGGCACACACACACACACACAAAAGGTGCCGAACCGGACCTTAGAGTGGCCGGGCTAAGCACACACAGAATAGTCAGGAAACAAGCCGAGTAAGGGGAACCAGAAGACAGAATAACGTGAAACGAGCCGAGGTCAAAGGGTAGGAGAAAGTCACAGAGTCAGATAAACAAGCCAGAGAGTACGTAACCAGAGGTACAAGGTAAGTAGCAATACTAGAAAGCAAAGACCACAACAGGGCAGGGAGGAACAGGAAAGGTAAGTATTTAAATCATAAGGTTAATTCTGATTGGATAACTTCCAATCAGAATTAACAATCACACGTGGGATATATCTAGACCTCCCACTGTGATTGAGGCACTGTGCCTTTAACGCCAGGTCAGGTGACTGACCCCGGCGTGTACAAACTTGGGCGGTCTCCCAGCGTGCAGTGTCATGTATGCTGCCGCTGGGGGACGTGGAGGAAACGGCGGGCGGCATCCGAGGCTGGAAGGATGCCGCTCGCCAGACCCAGGAGGATGAGGGGACCGCGGATGGCTGGAGGGTGAGTACCGCGAGCGGAGTGCAGCCTCCCCTCGCAGCCGCCCGCGGGATCCCGACAATGTGTCTTTCGACATGGTTGTTTAAGAAATGAGAGGCTACTCATTGCATCAGTTAGGGTTAAATAACTTGTTGTCAGCTGAAAGATAATCGCCCACGCAGTAACTATCCAATAGGAGGCCCTATTTGCTTAGTTAAATAAGTGCCTAGATTATAAATTTAGATACATTTACTACCTAGATTATTTCAGAATTTTTTACCCAAGCTATGCCAAAAATCTTTAGGAAACAGAGAAATGTTTTCTTCAGATAAGAGGATACCCATGACCATGACCCATGACCCCCAAAAGTGTTTAATTTTGCTATATTCTTTGGATTTTATTACATCGGTGCTTTCAGAACCAAACATGATGAATACTGTTACAAAGTAATTCACAAACGGAGGATACTGCACTCACACTTAGGAATCCAGTTTAGTAGATGAAATAAATTATGTCCAAGCACTCAGGATTGCTGCAGAAAGGCACAACATTTCGGCCTACACAGAGGCCTTTAAAAAGCGTGATAAGGGCATCTGTGTAGGTTAAAATGTTGTGCTTTTTGTTCTAATAAACCTGCCTTTCTGCAGCAATCCTGAGTGCCTGGACATAATTTATTTTATTTGAATATTGTTAAAAAGGCAACTATGAAGCATACCAGACTCAATGAATCAAACTGTAAACATGGTGTAAGGAAACAATAACCTGGAGAGAAATACCGAATACTTCTAGAAATGGTAACGGGAGTGTAATATCAAGTCTAGAAATGGTAGCTGGAGTGCAATATTGAGTCTAGAAATGATTATCTGGAATAAAAAATCAATCTGTGGATCATTCATACACTAAAACATATGCATAATTATTTAGAAAGTATCCAGAATTAATCAGAGACATGCAGATTTTAGGCAAAAATTCTCCATTTAAGCTATTCTTCCAGTTTTGCTCTTTTGCTCGAAAACCTGCAAATCTCAAGACAATTCCTGATGCAGAAAATCAGTTAGCCCTGAGAATGTAAGCAAAGTAAAGACAAAAAGTTAAAAAGAAGAAAAAAGTTTTGAATAATATAAAGAAGCACGTTTTAACCCCTTAAGGACGGAGCCAAATGTACACGTTGTGAACGAAACAAAATGTAAACAAAACCTGGCATTTGCGCTACATGTCTGTCCAACCGTAATTCACCTCTTTCATATTAAATGCACCCACCCTTATTACATATCATTTTATTCAGGGGAAACAGGGATTTTATTTAATATCAAATATTTAACTATGAAACATAATTTAATATGAAAAAAATGGGAGAAAATTATTTATTTTTTATTTTTTTAGTTCTATGTGACATTTTAACTGTCAATGTCATACTACTGTTTGCTTTTACTGCAATAAAATACACATATTTGTATTCAGCAAAGTCTCACGTGTAAAACAGTACCCCCTATGTACAGGTTTTATAGCGTTTTGGGAAGTTACAGGGTCAAATATAGCACGTTACATTTGAAATTGAAATTCGCCAGATTGGTTACTTGCCTTTGGGACTTTATAGTAGCCCAGGAATGAAATTTACACCCATAATGGCATACCATTTGCAATAGTAGACAACCCAAGGTATTGCAAATAGGGTATGTCCAGTCTTTTTTAGTAGCCATTTGGTCACAAACACTGGCCAAAGTTAGCGTTAGTATTTGTTTGTGTGTGAAAAATGCAAAAACGCCAATTTTGGCCAGTGTTTGTGACTAAGTGGCTACTAAAAAAGACTGGACATACCCTGTTTGCAATACCTTGGGTTGTCTACTATTGCAAATGGTTTGCCATCATAGGGGTAATTTTCATTCTAGGGCTACCATAGGGTCTCAAAGGCAACGTACCCAATCTGGCGAATTTTAATGTGAAAAAAATGAAACACAAGCCTTATATTTGACGCTGTAACTTTTGAAAACACCATAAAACCTGTACATAAGGGGTACTATTGTGCTCGGGAGACTTCGCTGAACACAAATATTTGTGTTTCAAAACAGTAAAAAGTATCGCAGGAATAATATCGTCCGTGTAAGTGCTGTTTGTGCGTGAAAAATGCAAAAAACTTCACTTTTACTGGCGATATCATCGTTGTAATACATTTTACTGTTTTGAAACACTAATATTTGTGTTCAGTGAAGTCCCCCGAGTAGAACAGTACCCTCCCATGTGCAGGTTTTATGGTGTCTTGGAAAGTTATAGGGTTAAATATAGTGCTAGCAAATTAAATTCCCTTTACTTTCAGCATGGGTTGTCAGGCAGGTCCCGCTAATTGTAATTAATTAAGATACCCAATTATGTAAAATTATTACATAAATATATATGTAGAATTAATATATGTATATATATACGTATGTGAATATATATGTATATATATAAATATTTTTTTTTAAATATTTTTATTTATATATTGGTATATATATAGTGATATATACGTATATATTTATGTATATAGATATATATATTATTTCGTTCTACGTGTATTTTGATATAAATATATATATATTAATATCACAAAACAGTTAGAATGAAATAACACACATCTATATATTTTTTAATTATTTATTTTTTATTATTTGTTTTATTTTATTTTTTAACGTATTTACATATTCAATTTTTTTAAATTATATATAAATATATATATAACAATACTTATATATATATTTAATCAGAATCAGTATCAGTCTATGTGTAATTTGATATTAATATATATATATTAATAGTAAAATACACCTATACAGTGTACATGTGTGTGTGTATGTATATGTGTATATATATATACTTAGATCTAAGTATATATTATTATTTTTTTACACTTTTAACTTTTATTTAATTTTATTTCTAGCCAGCAGGGGAACTACTTGTCATTACAGGCAGCCCCCCTGCTGGCAATGCTGCAGCCAGCTATCCCGGCCATGTGATTGTGAGGTCCACGCAAGGACCTCACTCTCACATGGCCGGGGGGCTTACAGTGGGTTGGACGTGCCGCGGGGGGCTCCCTGGGAGTCCCCACAACTGCGATCACCGGCGACCGGGTAAGTAATGAAAGACCGGAGCACATACTATTACGCCCGGTGGCGTTTAGAGCCGCCTAAAATAGGGCGTAATAGTACGCCCTCCGGTCTTAAGGGGTTAAACAAAGATAACTCTGAAAAAATGTAAATAGGTGAATATATAATTACCATTTCTACCATCACTATTGTAGCAAGCGCTATGCGATTTAATATAGAATCGCTTGCATTTCCAATCATATGACAAAGGTAGTTGTGGCAGACAGTAACTGATTTTAAGAGACAATATTTGGTGGCACTAATTGTATTTTTTTATTTTTTATTACAGCATTCTCTTATGGAGAAACAAACAAAATGACTGCACACATGTTTACACTGTACTTTATATCTATGGACCATATTCCCTAATGGCAGTAATTTTTCAAAAGTTTTAATTTGAATTGAAATATATTAGATATCCATACGAGCCATTATATATTCTACTGGATTACAAAATCATTATTATTCAAATCATTTGTAAATAATAATGTTTTGAAACTTTATATATTGCCAAATCTATGTTTAGTATTTTCTTTCTTATTTTATGCCTTAATAAACTTTCTTTGTTCTTTTCTCTTTAGTACATTCATATTTTATGTATATTTACTGAATTTTGGTATATGACAGGAGCACTGATAATTGTCACATTTTCACATTTGTGTGTGTATACTTCTTGGACACAACTCGATAACTAAACTAGAATTTCTGTTCTTGACTGCACACACCACAATCTGCTGTATAATGTTTAATCTTGTGCAGTGCTCTCTGTATATATGGCCCAACCTTTCACACTTGGTTTGTCCTTGGAACCTTAGACAAAGACCTTGGCTGTCTCTTTTCTTTGTCATTTAATTAATAAATAGAAGACCCTCTTTTGACCATATCTCATATTGGGTTTTTTTTTCCCAATTTCATACAGCTCAAATTGTTCTCATCCTCAATATTCTCATATCATGACTACAACCACGAATAATATTAATGTTCAAGTCATATCAACCAGTCCTCAAAGCATAACTAAAATCCCAAAGCCTATGAATTGCCTGTTCTGTTGTAACAATTTCTGGACTGTTGCAGGTCTAAATATTGACCTAAAAACCAGTGATTTAGACAATGCCACATATGTATTAAAGCAAGTGAGTAAAGATAAAAATAATGCAATGACTAGTGAAGTTATAAGGCAGATTAGTCATTGTATTAATGTTTTATCTTAATAGTGAATAATAATAAAAAGAAAAACAAGGTTTAGTTTCTGACTGCTAAGAACACAAAGCACAATTCGTAAAAAGCAAAACTTACTGTCAATGAAAGTTCACTTGTAATTCATTTAATCTCCTCGTCAAGCATATTATCTGAGGCTTTAGTTTTGAAGAGTACGTAGAACATATTTAAATTTCAGTAAGATGTCAAATGGAGAAGATGTCTTTTTACAGAACTTGGATACAAGTGCTGATATGACATACTCCATTGTTCTTTCTGGCCAATATCCTATTCAAATCAATGTGAGTTTCTGGTAGATCACTGCACAATCTGTTTTTTATGGGGCTTATTGAATACACCATTTAATGCAGTCACAGCAAATGCAGAGGAATGCCTTCATGCACTGTGATGCATGAGATCACATTGTTCCGTCATAGTGCCTCTTGAAATGCTACACATTGATGTGATAGGTGAGACACGCTCTTTTTATTGTATTGATCAGCCACTAAAGTGGTATTGCGGACCAACAGTTACAAGTGTGTGGTGTTATCTGAAGGATGGCAGCAAAATAAAGGATGACTGGACCGTAGCTGGATGAACAGATGTTGCTTGGAAATGATATTGGACAGATGTGCTGTTTGACTTTAACATTATTCAAAGCTCCATATATAGTGTTAACCTCACTGAAACAGAATTTTATAGTTAAGATGCTTGTAGAAAAGTGAGCATGTTACCAAGAAAAAAAAAAAATATATATATATATATATCAAAACCATGTGCTTACCAGGTAAACTGACTCATTTAATGACACATTAAATATTCATCAGAACTTCATCCTTTCTAGTAGGTAAATTTAACATACCAACGTTTTGACATGACATGGTTTAAAAAAAAACAAAAAGAACAGCCCAGTAGAGTGTGGCACCCTCCCCCCCCTGCTTTAAATGTTCTAATCCGCATCCCACCGAGTGTTCCAATGACAAGTACATTTTCTCAAATCTGAAACAGAACATAAGGATATTTAATGTGATAGCCCCTTGTTTTGAAGGGACATAGTTTCAAAGTAGCAATCAGTAGGCCTTCCAAAACAATTGATATTAAAAACTACAATATTGTTTTTGGGTGCTATAGAAAAAATATTAATACATATATATAAATGTAACCTGGACCTCCTGATCTCCCGTTCAATCTCCTGGACTCAAGAGGACTTGGTAAATTAAATTGTTGTTTTATTTGTTCAGTGATAAACACCCATCAATCATGTCAAATAGTGTATATATATATATATATATATATATATATATATATATATATATATATATTTTATTTCTGCTAAGAAGTTTGCCATATATCACCTTTATCATCTTTTACTAGGGTGATGCCTTACATTTAACAGTTTTAACCCTCTTAAAAGAATTACTGTTGGGAAATTTCTTAGTAGTGTTATTTGATCGATTACATTCCACAATGCTGTGCACCCCTATACAATATAACAATTTTAACATTTAGTAGCAGTTGATATCGTACAGTCAAATACCACCGTAATCACTGACAATAAATAGATATGTAGATAGCACAGCAATAACAATTAATAAGCATACAGTGCTAAAACAGATTTTGACAAACTCACGACAATTAATAAAAAAAAACAGAGTAGAGAACACTGAAAAAATGCCTACAGCTCTATTTTAGTTTTTTCATGTTATGACAGAGAAGTTTGATACACAATTATATTACTATAAATTATATGATGCAGTATGTCTATTTGCATTTAGAGTATTTAATCTATTACTATTTAACAATGTGTATATTTTGCTATGCGTTGCAATATGAAATGGATGTTAAAAAGCTCAACTGACATTCCTTTTTTCTCTGGGACTGATTTTTCAACTCGCAGAGGGACACATTTCTCTGCCAGGGATCCACAGGGATCCATTCTGTTCCTCTACGTATAGGCAGAGGGACTGTTAATGATGCCTCCTCTACTACCTCATATTATACATAAAACATTGCTGTCTGAAATTCAAGGCTGCATTCTAGCAACCCGAGGGGGGGATGAGTGAGAGGTTTAACTACACTGAGTACACTATAGGTATTACTTACAGGATGCAATAGCAGCCTGATGATTCTGTATGTTGCAGATATCAACTTATTTTGCAGGTACCAACTTATTCTACGGTGCCTTATAATATAAGAAATTATTTTTATATTCTGGTAGCATTTTTAGAAAGGTCTATTCCCAGAAAAGCCATCAAATTCTATAGAAACACTCAAAATCAGAAGTTTAAAGCAGGGTATTTAAACATTTCTATTTATCCATTTTAAATCCAACTATATGCATCAAAAATTATATTTCTGCTTCTATGCTAATATTTAGGTGAGGTATGCCATATAATCTAAAAACAATCTTTATCTCTTCAAGATGATATGAAGAATGAATAATTTAAATAAAATATTTAACATAACATAATGTAACTTTATTGGGCATCCATTAACATTTACTGAAATAGCAGTTTTTTTGAACATTTACACTGCTGGCTATGCATTCATGTTTCAAATAAGTGTTATATGTTTTCCACAAATGAGTGAATTAGGAAGTGAAGGGGTTAAGAAAAACATAATTAATAGGTTTTGCTTTAAAACAAGTTAGAACCACACTCTATAGAAGTGTTTGCTTGGTCCTCAGAACATTACTTGATTGCATTATTTTTTTCTGGTAACAAGCCCTAGGTGCTGATTCGTATACTACCTATAATCATGCCAATTTGTTTTTGTTATAAGCTGTAGAAATGTCACATTTGCTTACAACAGTGGTAAGACGCTTAAAGAATAGTGTTAATAGCAGGCCCTAGGGCTTGGGCTGAAAGTAGAGTACATAAACGTAACTCATGTGGTTCTTGAAACAAAGAATGGGTTAAGTATAAATAAAAACGCAAATTCTATTATTTAGAAAATACTAATTTCCTATCCCCATGTAGTCACTGATTGCTAATGGGTCAGTGCTAATATCTTGACAGCGTCAATAAACATATAATCATCACTCACAAACTGGATCAAGCGTAGTAATGTTTCACAAATTACTGTTCAATTCATTCACTAGCATATACAAATAAATATAATTTAACAGAATGTTTCCCCGTAACTATTAATTAGTTGTAAAATACACCAATCTGTCTCTCTCAAAAAAAAAAAAGACACAATTTGACCATTTACATTAAATATATGTATCCGTCAAATTTAAATTTCTAATTATTTATTTGGGTAAATTGCGAAGCAGCTAACTGTTTTTCTAGCTTTGGACTTGGGGATAAGTTAATATATCAGTCCAGTAATGTATGCATGTATGTATTTATCTGTATGAAAGGGACAGTATCTCATAAAATGTGAATGGCAATATCAGTGTCATGTAGCTATAAACATTTAATATATCTGTTGTGCTTGTTAAACTACCAAAACATTTATAATTTAAAGGATATATGCAAATGAGGTTTTTTCAGCTTTTTTCATGATGACAATATTACTAGGTTATATAGAACGTTACAAACCACTTGTGGGCTCACCATGAGCAATTTTATTCCAGTGGATTTATTTGGAATTCAGATATGGGATATATGCTGTGATTTAGCACCTTGGCACTGGGAAGAAGATTTAATTGGAAACTAATTCTATACATATGAATTTTATGACCATATTGGTAACACATGGTATATATGAAATGAGGTCATTAAGCAAGTTTGACACGTTTTTCATGACAGTGTCTTTATAAGATAAATTGATGTCCCATATGTAAGTTACACAACTGCATGCAATATAAAAGAATCAATTACACAACAGCATTCATGACAACTGCTGATTCTATTTTTAACCAATATGGCTTGCCTGTGCCTGATGAGAGTTACTTCAAAACACTGCATGAGCCTGATCATACCTCTAGGTGATATTGTGTGTCTTTTGCTGTAATATCTACATTTCACAAAAAGCCTAGGTAACCCTTTCTTCCCCAGGTAAACCTACAATGTGTAGCAGCAGCCCTCTGGCATTGAAAGGATTAAATCAAAAACAAATGTGCTTGTCTGATACAAACAGTGCAAACACAATGGAAATTGCTTTATTTAAAGCCCCATAACCACTCAGTAACGTATATTGGATTTGCAATGAAGTGAGAGCAGTCGAGCATTTGATATTGTTCCTCAATTTTACAGTCTTCTGATGATTTAAAATACATATATGACTTAACTCTTATTCTAACTCCTAATCCCACAAAAAAGCTTAGCAACACATTTAGTGGGGTACCTGCCTGACACACAACTAAACTTAAAGGTGTGTGCGTATGTGTGTATATATAAATATATATATATATATATATATATATATATATATATATAGTAAATAATGTCTCCACTTTCTTGCTGTCCCCCTGTGTACAGGTCTAATCACTACAGGGTTAGACTTGGTTAGCTAACAATTATGAGGTTTTTTTTTGCTAACTCCGCAACCTGGGCCTATTTTTTTGTCATCTCGCTAGTTAGGGAATAGATATTTACAAGTTTAAGACTAATATAGAAATGCTTTATAGGTCTGTTCACGTTAAAGTACCTTGTTAAAATTCTGCTGGAGTTTGGCTGACATTTAAATATATAATTTAATTACAATATCGACTTAGCAGTGTAAAATATTCCTTAATTGAGATATTTTTATTGGCTGATAAATACTAGCCTTAACACCTTCAGAGGTTGCCCCTTCATTGCAAGAGGCAGCCATGTCACTTTGACAAATGGCTTACAGTGAGGTGTGGGGCTTGTGGTTATACATTTGCCTGTTTTTTAATAATCTGTTCCTCTGCTCATTTGAAATGGACTTTCTCACATTTGCATGGCAACAGACATCTATTTTAAAAAGAGTTCAATGCTATATATAGACAAAGAATTACAAGGTTAAATGAGGAGAGATAAAAAAAAATGACTATTGAAATCTGAATGCTGTGTAGAGAGAGGGATAAAGACAGATTAAAAACAGGACAGAATAAAATATATCGAGAATAAAGCAGAGACAAGTACTGCAGACAGCGGTCCCTAAAACAAAATTATGTTATATAGTTCCTCTGTTTCTATGTTTGTGTATTCAGAGAGTACACAGTGGTGTTAAACGTGCCAAGTAATAGTATTAACCCTTTAAGTGTTTGGGGTATCCCTTTATATCATGACGCACTGGTACATCATTGGTCTTTAAGGGGTTAAAATGATAACTGAAAAATTAAGCTATGCAAAAAAAAAAAAATTATTAGCAAATTAAACTTGTGAACACGTTCAGCACTACTGAGGCCTTCAAAGTAGGCAATGAACAGGTTAATATTGCATTTCACGAAACAGATTTGAGAAGTAATGGCCAACTTAGTGAAACATATTTCACAGAGCTGAAAAACTGGACTTTAAAAAAAAACAAACCTTAAAAAGTAAAACAAAATATTGTTAGTCTGCACTTACGCCACCCTAAATAGAAATTTATTAGGGATATATATTTCTGCAGGTCAAGCAAAGAAAACAATACGTAATGACAAATCATGAATATGGCGGAGAAATGTTTCAAAGGACATACATTAGTACCAGCCACATAAATAAATATCAACAAACAAGGCCGTCTTTTTAAAAAAAAATAAAAAATTATATAGATGGTTACCTTTCAGGGATTTGAAAATATCTGCACTGAAAGACTGAAGCCTATAATTTTGACCACAGATGCTAGCTTACTGAGTGTCTGATACAGAGGTAAGCATTGATCTGCCTATTTGTGATCTTACATCCATTTAGTAAGGTGTGATAAATTAGTTATTAAACATCTTTACAAGGACCAGCAAAACCGAGAGATACACACAAAGTGGGTTACAAGGTCTAAAGGGTGCATAGAGAATAAGGTAAAAGCAATATAGGTTATCCAGACAACATTTGTGAAATATTTGTATATGTGTTTAGTATTTTGAAATCTTTAGATGTCCATATACATTTTTTTAAGTGCAAAGAGAAAAAAAATAGAAAATAATGACAGTGGGAATCAAGGACTCTTGGGTATAGAGGTATAAAATGACAGAAAATGCACACACTCACACACACACACACACATATATATATATATATATATACATATACAGGTATAGACACACACAAACAAACTCCACACAAACATACATAAACAAACATTTGTATGCACACATATATATGTATTTGTGTAAGTATGTATATATATATATATATATATAAAATCTCACACATATATATATATATATATATATATATAAAATCTCACATATATATATATATATAAACATTTATATAATTATATATGATTCCACTCAGTATCTCAGTGTAATTTGTATTAATATATAAATAGATATGTAGGTATACAGTTAGACACACAATGTACATTGTTAAATAAAAGAGCCAGTTAATTGAGAATGGAATTGTAAAAGATATCATGAGTGGCAGGATTTGCACTGAAAGGGTTAAGAGAGGAAGCAGATGAGGATGAGACAGGATGGAGCATGTGTTTCAGTAGAGTAGGGAGCAGCGTGGTCTGAGGGTTAGGTTAGATTTCCAAAGCTCTTAGAGCTGATCGACCAGTCCGCCGGAGTCACTATTCAACCCGAGTCCCAAACACACGCCTCACTAACTACTTTACAGCCACTTTCATTGATTTTCTTTATCAAATAAACATAATACCCGTTACAACAACACTTCCTCTCCTCACAGTCAGAATGCCACAAGCATGCAGCCTGCATTTCTCCACTTTGCAGCTCCCTCTCCCTTTAAATAAACGTGTGTTCTGTAAAACTGTTAATTACCAGCATTATTTTCTGATTGTCACAGAATCAGGAAGTTGAATAAATCAACCATTTGCCAAGAAAATAAAGAATTGGGATTAAACAAAATCACACTCTTTGTAAATGTGATCTTTAAATAAATGTGTAGTAATTTTATTGTAGTTGTGGTGCTATCATTAAATTATATATGTATATTTTATTGTTCCTTAAAAGTACCATATAATGCATTTGAGTTTGGTTTATTTTTTTTCTCTATAATACCATTTCACAAAAATATATCTCTCCAAAAATGAAGCAAAAAAAAAAATGTACAAAATGTCAAAATATCTTCAAATGTTGATTTTTGAACTGTGTCCTCTAGTGTATGTTAAAAGGTTTCTGCATAATTCATTACTATAATTACTATTATCATTGTTATTATTATATAACCATCCCAATCCAGGTGGAAATAATTGAATTATTGTAATTTGATATCTGAAGAATTTCCTGTGTTCCTTTTATTAATCTTTTTTTTTTTTTACAAAAATGTTTAAAAATCAGGTAGATAAATATTTTAAATGCCTTTTAGTCTGTTATAGATTTTAGTTTATCTAATCAATTGAAATGCCAATAATTCGATTAAAGGTTTAGTGTTTTACAAACAAGCATTTTGTGCCTTTTGGAATGCTGAGCCAGGTGTGCTTTTATAAGATGCTAAGAATTTCTGTATCATTGCACGCCCCTTGCATGCTAACACCATTTTTTTTTGTATGTGTATATTTTCAAATGCTAATAATGGTTCAAAGTAGAGAAAAAAAATTGAAAAAATAAATAAATAAAAAAATCAAATAACCCGCCAATCTATTTGAATGCTTCAGTGTTTTGGTCAATGTATTTAAAGAAAGCCCTTAAAAAAAATCCAGGTGAATTATATGTGATCATACAGTGATTGCAGAATATTAAATTAAACTTAGATAAATCCGCATTGAAGGAGGCAGCACCCAATCCTGAATTTATATCCCATTTTTCTGTAACAGCATCACTACGCTCCTCTCTTTGCAATGACAATGTGCCAAATCTAGGCATTTTGAAAACATTTTTCCATATGCTTTAACTGGAGGCTGATAGACAAAGAAGAAAAGAAGACAGACTTTTTACACTTGAGGTATATTTTCCTTTCATCTTTTTGTATATGTGTCTATATCACAAATGTATATGTGTGTCTATATATATATATACATTTATATATATATACATACAAAGATATATATAGATATATATTGTCTTGCTAATTATTGCTTTGATACAGATTTTAGATTAACTATTATTTTATTTTTCTTTATTTTGCGTTTCTACGTTTTCTAGGTTAGCTGATACTAACCAAGTATTGATTCGTTTAGTTTGTGATTGCTTCTTTCCTGCAATTAAAGATGGTTTTAATTATGATAGTTGTAAGTTTGCTTTTAAGACTTCTTTCATTTTGTCTGCTGGTTTAGTTTTAAACGTTTTTTTCTCTTTTTGTGAATTGCAATATAATGTTGGCTTTAATTTAAAAAAAGATCAAACGAGATTTTTAAAAATAAATTTTAATTATTGCTGGTTATCAAGGTAAATGTACATTATACAGTTTGTTGTATTCATTCTTTTTACTGTGGCATTTTAATCAAAATGGTTTGTTTAAGTCTAATTAAATGCATGGACAAAGCTGTATTGTATTTAAGTGATTTCCAAATAGTATTTTATTTACTTTTTCTGGACAATTTAATTCTGGTTTAATCGTAGGCATCATTCTTATTTTTATTTATACCCTAATGTTTCATCTAATCTGAGATGAATCTTAATGTAGAACATGCTCAGTAATTATTTTTCCCATATTTTTTATTTTTTTTTAGGATATATTTAGCAAGAGTGTAATTTTTGGAGTAAGGTCAGGGTGTTTTCCCGTTTTAGAGGGAGTGCTGTAAGGGAGATCTGCAGTTAGTGGGATGCCTTTCTTATGGTCCTGCTGCCGATGTGATTTGTTTATAAACACTGGGTTGTTGGCTGGGAAGGGGGAGGCAGAGAGACTGTCAGAGAGCTCTGACCTCTCAAAGCCCAGAGGGCTTCTGAACCCATAACCTTGTCTGCGCCCTGGCTCTTTTTACCTTTTCTTTTCCTCTCTATGTCATCTTTTTTCCCTTTTATTCGCATCCCCACTCTCTTTGTTCATAATTCCGCCTTCTTTGATTTCTTTACTGCAACCTTTGCTCTTTTTTCCCTTTTTGGGTGTTTCACCTATGACTTCGATCTCAAACAAATTTTTATTTATTTGGATATGAAAACCTGCCCCTCTTTCTGATACGGTCTTTCTTTTTTTTACACACATATTTCCTGCTTGTCACCTCTAGAATTGTATCTCTTATTGCCCAAGGGTTCAATGGCTAAGAAAAAGCAGGATCGCATAAATATATAAAGCATCCTCCTTAGATAACCAGCCATCGTATAAGCATTTCAAAAAAGTGAAAATAAGGTAAATATATTGAATCTCTAAAGTCCTTTGCTCTCTAAATCATTCTTTGTCAAGTGTTAAGCTCTTCAAACCATTTTGTTTCCAATCAAAAGTCAGTAAAGATCATAATGACTGATTATCCCTGGAATAACTTTGTTTTAATTGTTTGTTTAATTTGCATCTGCTGTGACTTAAAAAGAACACCAATTGAGAGTGGTGGGGGCAAGTGTATTTACAAGCAACACATTTACATATGTACATGTCAGTGGGTGTTAATGAGGTGCGTATGTTGCTAGCAATTAGAATTAATTATGTGGTTTTCACACAAAAAAGCCACATTATCTCCGCAAATATACAACAGATTTTGATAGAATTAAAATATGATATTGAAAAGGATCTGTTGAGATTTTTTTTTTTTTAAAAGGTTAGTTAACACACTTCTTTGTCAAATAGCCCCCGGGAAAAAAAGAGGCTAAAAAAAAAAGAAGGAGAATAGAAGGAGCTGGGGGTCTGAAAGTGTCTGCTTTTCAGACAATGGGTCTCTAACACTGAAATCTTGTAATACCTCAGTTCAAACTGAGCTGGTCTATAGACTCAGTGAACACTAGCAAAAAAAAAAAAACATGGATTCTCTATCCCTTGGGCTGGGGGGTGGGAGGGAATTTGGACAGTTATTAGTGATGCGACGTCCATTAAAAGGGATATGCAAGGTAATTACAGGTTTTAGCATGTCCTTGCTATAGTTATTTTTTTTCTTTAACTTGTTTGCTGTGATTGATTTACAAAACAAATATATGCTTGGCTTTATTTTCATCATGAAGTGACCACACACCCCATAAAAGAGCAATAGTTATCTTGTTGAAAAAAATAAAAAAATAAAAAGCACATTAGACTTTTAACCCATTCAGTGCTGGATGGGACCAGCACACTCTGCACTAAGAGATGGTTGAGTCGTATATTACTAATCTTGGTGTTTTCTAACTGCAGTTGCACTTTTTGGTAGCTTTACAGAGGACGGGGCTGCTTTAAATGCTCGGAAAAAATCTTTGTTGATGAGAGAGGACACAAGGGGTTATAGCTGTGACATTTGTGCATGATCACAAGAGAAAGGGGAGGGAGGTTAAAGGGAAAGGGTGAATAAGGAAATAAGAGTGAAAACAGAGATTAGTGAAATAAATTAGGTTTTTTTTTCATGATAAAAGAAATGTAAAACTGAGTACAAAGAAAAAAATAGTTAACAAATGGGAAATTGTATCACGTGAGCAATACAGATGTATGCAAGTGAGATGTAAGAGTTAGAGTAAAAGAAAAAGGGGGAAAATGAGATAAGCCTGAGATGAGAATAATTGTAAAAATAATGTATTTTGAGAAGTGGATTTGAAGTCTCTGAAATTTTAAAGCAGTGTGGAATGGAGAGAAAGGAAAGAGCATGGGATGAGGAAATGATAACTAGATGAACTTAGGACACAGAATGTTAAACAAACCACAAGAACAAACAGTAAAGACAAAAAATTTGGATGACAAGCCTGTACACATAGACAGTGAAAAAGCAGTAAAACTATGCCATACAAACAATGAAGAAACAGTGAGAACATAGTTTAAAGAAACTGTAAAAGGGTGCTGAAAAGGAAAATGAGAAAGGAAAAGTGAGAGGAAATGAGAATAACAAAATATGATATAGACAGGGTTATAGCAACAAACCTGAATGGGTCTGCCTAACGCTGCCTGCCTCCTTGCTTCCTTCCTTTTCTTGCTCGCTTTCATCCATCCATCCCTCCCCTCCTTTCTCCTCTCCCGGGTCGCTGCTGCCTCCTCTAGGTCCTTACTCATGCACTCTTCGTTTCGTCCCCTTCACATCTGCCAACCTGGCTCTCTCTCTCAGCTTTAACCTTCTTCGATTTTTCCTAGATCCCTGGCCATCCCTGATTTTCTTCTAACTGAACTTCCCGCAGTATCTTTTTTTTTTTTTTTTTCCTGAGTTACTATTTTTAGGAAGAGAGAGAAAGAGGGAGAGGGCAGAGAATAAAAGGGTTAGGAGGGGCAGTAAACATTCACAGGGGAAAGAAAGAAAATGGGAACTCACCTCTTCACAATTCCTGCCTTCCCTTTTGTCCATTTAGCTGTAATTCAGTAACACTCAAACCATACTTAAAAAGATATAAAGAAAACCGCAACAATAAAGAGGACGTGACTGATATGTCCTTTTGTGTTTTCCTGGTGCTTTCTTTAGCCATTGGTGTTTGCATATCTGCCAATATAGGTGAAAAAATATAAAATATGGGAAAAATGATTTGTTTTATTTCCTCCAAACAAATCTACATTTCTAAAGTTCTTTTGCTATTATTTAAATAAATGTGCTGTTAGATCTGCATATTAATTTCTGGTTTTATGTTTTCTAGATATTGAGTTTATGAATGTGTTTCATGTATGTTTACATTGTTTCTACTTGAATTTATGTGATTATTAATATCTAATATATATATATTTATATGTGTGTATATGTGTTTGTAAATATATATATATTAATTTGTAGTATGAGTGTGTGTATATATAGATATATTTATCTGTGTGTGTATGTATGCACACATATTCATAAGACACATATCTACATATTTATATTACATATTAAGTCTCTGAATACATCATGTTTTGAAATTAATTTTAAAAAAGCTTATGAGGAAATAAACATATTTCTAAGGGTAATGTTTGTTTAATTTCTGGTTCATATGATTGATACAGATGAGAAAGAGAAAAATATAATATTAAATATAATAACGTTGTTCTTATCCATTTCATACTATACTTATTTCTGTTAATTAAAAGGGCTTAAAATACACACACACACACACACATACATACATACACACACACACACACATATATATTCATAATATTTATATATATATATATATATATATATATATATATATATATACATATATACCCCTTTGATAATATTGTAAAGCGCTACGGAATATGCTGGCGCTATATAAAAACCAGTAATAATAATAATAATATACATACAATGCTGATTTTTATAATAGATATGGATACCTATATATATTCATAGACTTAGCATGGTATTCACAGCTGGTATATATTGGTTTAGGTAGAATTATGATGGAATTTGCTTTAGAGACCATTTCAGCTTTTGCAACAGAAAAAAGCAGGGAAAATAGAAACCATTTTAGATCAGCGCGGCTCAGACTCTTTCTTCTTTCGTGGGTAACAAGGTATATATTTGGTGTGGTAGAATTATTATCTAAAAACATTTATTTAGAATTATATTTTCATTTTTAAATGTTCCGTTTAATTTTTTTGCAGCCAATAAAGGTTATTTAAAAAAACACCATGCATTCTTTTAACGTTGCAAACCTTTTCAATTTACGAAGTTCATCGTTTTCAAGCGATATCATTTGAAGGACTTGCCAAAATTGTCCTCCAGTAAAGTATTCATTTTGTTGATCTGGGATTGGGTAAAATCTTTGTGTATGTCCAGGGTTTTTTTTTTTATTCCTCTGAAATATTCTGGGAGCAGGACGGTGCAAACCCTTGCGTTGGTATTTGGCAAACTTGGTACTTAAGGCCTAAGACAAGTTTTTGACGTGCAGCCCAGGAATTCTAAACTTAAAAGGCATGTCAACTTCAACATCAGGCTATGGTTCATCTGCTTAACTTGTGACGCTGTAAACATCGTTATTCAACTTCTATTTACTTTTGTTCAGTGGAACTCCAATTCCTGTTTTGTAGCATTGATATATAAATATATATCAACGTTCTATTTTTGATGTGAAATCCTACTGTAACAGATGTACCTGTCACTAATTTCATCTATCTTTTTTTAAATAATATCGTCCCAAAATGTCCCTTCTCACAACTTGACAAGCAGAGCATTTTTTAACATTTTGTTTTTTTTTTTACATCCCCCATTTTTCTGGGAGTGCAAGTTTATTTGGAGCGTGTCCGTATTTCACAAACAAGTGCGTGACAGTAAAAATACAGTAGCCGATACATTTTATTAAAATTAACATGTAGCAGTTGAAAATTGGAATTTAGTTTATTACTAGAATTTTATATTACGATTAAAATTTTACAAAAAATAAATAAAAAATGTTTTTTTAATGTACATAAAATGTTTGCGTTTAGCCACTACCTAAAATTATTATTAATTATGTAATCCATTAAGTAATTACACTATGGACATAATTTGAATTTGATAATTTTCAATCCATTTTTGTCCATACACTCTGTTTGCAGTCATTTGGAAAATCGGTGGTTGGGAAAGCACTGTAGCTCATTTGTTTTATATGTCTTGCAAGGTAAATGTGAGAGTAGATTTTTTTTTTTCTACTGGTATGTTATTATCTTTGCAATTCTGCTCATTCCCCCCAGCCCTATAGTTTGTATACATGTGTGTGTGTGTTAGTAATTAAGTCTTCAGCCAGGAGTGGATGGGCTGCTCTGTGATCCTGCTTCTGATTATTGTAGTGGTTTCTCCAGCCCCAGCAAGCGGCTCTAAGTCCAGGCTGCACGTCATTTGCAATCTGGAGACTGTTGATCACCTCACTAATTACACCTCCCCCTCTCTCCTCTCTCCTCTCTCTCTCCCTTTCTCGCTCGCTCTCTCTCATTCCCAGAGTGCATATCAGGAACAGACACACAAAGACATGCGCACTCAACTTAATCAGCCATTTTTTTAAACAGGGCTAAAACGATAATAATTAGCAGAATAAAGACATTCATTTCCTTTCCTCCTTTTCCCAAGCCCTTCACAAGCAAACAGCAAGGCATTGAATTGCACATGCTTTCACACCCAGCGGACCTAGAACAACGAGCAGAGCCTTCTCTCTCTCTCTCTCTGCTCATTCTTGCATCTGCACTCCTGCAAAAAGTTCCAGGATTATTCTTTTTTTGTATGATTGTCTATTTTTTTTTTATATATATATTTTTTTCTTCTTTTTCTTGATGAACGTTCACCTTTTTTTTGTTGGATGGGATCAGCTGTAGTGACTAAGCTGAAGAGAGAGACACACGATATAAATAAGAAGATTGAGTGGAAACTACGAAGTGGAAATGGAAAGTAAGTTTTTTCTTTAACTTTTATTGAGCAGTTTGTGTTAAATTTAGGTTGGTTATTGATTATCTTTCCAGACTGATCTTGCACAATCTTTGATATTTCGCTCTCTCTCCCACACGCTCACTCTCTCTCTCTCTCTTTCTTTCTTTCTCTCTCTCTCTCTCTCTCTCTCTGCTAGCCCTCTCTCACTGCCTCACTTTTGTTTCTCTCACATACACACACACACATTCCCCATATGCACAGATCCCAGCTAACTCCCCCTTCCTTTCTTTTCTTTCCTCCGATCTGACATACCAGGGAGTAGTTTCCAGTGATTGCTGACGAGAGTGTCCGTTCTCTTTCTCCTTTTTATTTTCACATTCTCAGCCATCAGTTTATTCTCCGTTGTAACTTGTGTTAAGCATCTCGGTGCAGGAGAAAGAGAAAAACAACTGTCAGGGAGCAAAGCTGACTGTCAAAAAAGTGCCCCAGATCTCTTAGCCAGGGATGCCTCAAAGCGATATTTGTCCTTACATTAGGAAACAATTCTCTGGCATTGCAATGCAAATGCTTCCACTGTGTTTATTCCTGACCGTCTCTGTAGTGCTCTGTGTTAATTTCAGTTTCCAGGTATGATTGCTGCTCCAGTGGGAAAAAAGACACAAAATTGTTGTTGTTATTTGTGATTAACAGCAAAAAAAAGTTGTTTTTTTGCTTGTTTTTTTTCTACGATAAAAAGAAATTCCACTCATTATCTTCTTCCTTGTTCTTTGTCACAATTTCTCCATAGCAGTATTTAGCTTTAACAGAAAGCTACCCAAAGCTGGTTCTTTTTTTTCCCCTCATTGCCAGTGGCATGGTCTGTTGGGTTTAGTTGACCTTGTTGGGGGTGGCTGATAGAGAGAGAGGCCGTGGGGGATGGTTTGCAGCCCATCTCCTGGAGCTCTGTTGTCCTGTACAGACTCCCCGCTTCAGGGGAAGGCATAGCTCATCTCTCCCCTCCCTGTTCTCAGCCACTCTGACTCTCTGTGTACACAAAGAAACTGACAGAAACAGTCGCTGCTTTCCCATATACAAGAAATCGTGAAAAAGATACACCGTATCTTTAAGGGAAAAAGCTTTTAGACATTTATGTGTTTGTCCTCTAAAATGCACCTGACGCAGTTTATGTTGCAAAGAAAACACACATCATGTCCCACACTTAGGCTTTTGCTTTATCACCAAGATATATGCAATTGGTATTGTTGTTTTAATGCTGCTTTCTTTTGCCCCTTTTGGTTCCCTCTGTCTTCAATCTCCCTTTATCTGATAGTAAATTCAGCTTTGCAATGGGATAGAAGTTGGCGGTGGGAGAAAAGCTTATTGTGTTACCTGCAAGTTGTGCTGAGAGGAGCAAGGGAGGGCAGAATAGTCGCCTTCAATCCTTTTTTAACCCTCGTCGCTCTTTCAGGGCTATATCCTGATTACCTTTAAAATGTAGAAGGTAGCCAAATAGAATCACACCAAAAAAAAAAAAAATGTAAAAAATCACATACAAAAATGTAAAAAAAAAAAAAATTGAATAGTTACAAAGGGGAGGGGGGCTTCATGGGAGTAAAACAAAGCCAACTTCTTGCTGAAGATGGTGGCTAATATTTATCCAAACAGGCTGCTCTGACGGAAGTCTGGTCATCCCGTTGTCTGACAGTTGCATTTCCTCTGCTTCATTCATTTTCCTTTTTTTTTTCTTATTAACCCTTCTTCCTTTTTAATGAAGGCTCATGTAGATGACAGTCAAAGGAGGTTATGCATTTTTTATTTCCTCTTCCCCTGGATTTATAGTGGCTTGGTCCTTGTGAACAATCAACGCTAAAGAGCTGAGAAAATATAATATTTGTGGTATTGTGGATGCAGAGGCTGTAAGATATGCAGCCCAGCCTGTGGGGTTGCTGCTTAGACTGAGGTAGAGACTTGGCTACGATTGGGACACAACAGTGACATAGCATCGATCGCTTCCATTGAGAGCAATGGAAAAACACAGCCGGGGTATGTAACACTCTCAATGCCATCAACACTTGTTTTACTTCCTATTTACAGACTATTCTGACAGGAACCTATTGGGCTTTG